CCCCAAAACCCCAAAACCCCAAAACCCCTTGTATAAATATCTAGTTTAAATATCAAAAATCAAAAATAAATCAAAAATAAATTTTATCTTATAGTTATCACAACAATGTGACTTAATTTTTCAAAAAATTATAAAATATTTTTTCTTTGACTGGCTTCGATTTTTGCTAATTTTACTTCTATTATTTACCAATCGATACTCTGGTGTGAAGGCTTATCCACCTTGTATATTATAAGAATTTTCTCTAACCAGGCTATTGCTACTAACATATTCTGGACTATCAAACTCTCACTCAAATATTCGAATTTTTTTCTTGTAATTATTTGATATTTTATTTGTTCCTGTATTTTTTTAAATCATCTACTTGATTATAGCATTACTTGCTTTCTGATTTTCTAAGGAATATGCAGAGTTCTTATTTATCATTGTCTTACTATTATTGTTCATTAATCCTGATGATTAGGAATAATTGTTTTTGGTATTAGGATTAGATTCTATATTTTAATAGAAACTTTAACTCTAGTAGTCTTTTGAATGTTATTGATTTATTCTTGGTATGGCGGATGTTTAATCTACTAAGGTGTTATTAATCATGAAGCCTGGAGATATTTATGGGACTGATACATCCCCAGACATGTTATTATTATTCTCGTTCATTTAGATTTTAATGTTATTAGTGTTATATTGATAGTATTTATTCTAAAGCTAAATGACTTGTGTGGTTACTCTATCTAAACTATTTACCCCACTATTTTCAATTGTCCTCCTATCGCTCTATGATATAAATTTAGGCTTTTATGGAGGACTATGGCTGTTATTAATTGTGTTACGCTAAATAATATTAAGAGCTTTCTTTCTATTTGGAACACTATCATCATTTGCTAAATTACTAACGCCGAGGAAAATTTCACTCTAATTTTATTCTATCCTTTTTTAATTGAGGTTAATTTTATCTTTTTTAGTTGTAGATTATGAAATATGTTTTAGAATTGATGGATTAATATTAGGATATAATGTAGTTATTTCTATAGGATCCTACTCGTTTTCAAACAGTAAATTGTTACTTTTGTTATTATTGGTGTTTTTTAATTGAGGGAGCTATAATTATTTTATTGTTTCTTATGAGCCGCTTGTATTCAAAAATTCAGATGAACTACTTTAATCTGCAAGAAAAATTTATTACTTTTGCTTTTGCTAATAAATAGCTTAGTCACTTTAATAATTATAAGTCTTAAATGCTCCGTATTAAGTTTGTTAATAGGGATGATTATTATACTCTTGATTTCTTCTTTCTGAGTTGGGTTTTATATGTTTACCTAAGCTTTTATTATCTCTGTTACGTTGACTAGAAGCTTTATGCTCTCATTTAACATTATTGGTTTATTGGAAAGATGATTATTAAAGTTGATTTTTAATCTTATCCTTGTTTTGTGATTTGCCTAGCTAATCTAAATCATAATTTACTCTTTCTTCTACAGACTCAAAAGTAGGTTGCTTACTTATTTATTATTATGATTTAATCTGATTAAGTGGATTCTGATTTATTTTCTCAACAGAACTAAGAGGAGATCCATTGATAGAAAATTAGATTTCATTTAAGAGAGTGTTCTCCATGTATTTCTGTTTGTCTGAGGAATGCATATCAATAGTTTTGTATGGAGACTAAACTGGTTTCTTCGATATTTAATCCTATGCGATCTGTTAATTATCCAGAGTGCTATTGAGATACTATTTCATTTGGATCTAGGTGTTAGGAATGTTTCTAGTATTTCTCTAAGTTATTTGATTATCATCAATAAACTTTTCGACCGATTCTTGTAAATCCTCCTCCTTTATTATTTGCAAATTTGAAAAACTCAATAGAGATTATGGACTCTTTGGTGCCTATATTAATAAGATTAGAAAATAAAAAATACATAAAGAGTGTTAAGGTATGTAATAAGTGACTCAAAAGCATTGGAAAATTTTGGATTTAAGTGTTTAGATTTATCCATTTACTTCAAAAATTTCATAATTTTCCTTATTTTTGTTAGCCATGTAGCTTCGTCAAAAGGATCTAAAGGGGTTAGTATGAAAATAAGAAACCTTTTTAATAAAAGTTGACGATTCGATGACACATCAAGATAAGAGATTTTTCCAATAATTTATTGTAAATTGTTTCCTGCTATCGAGTACTGAAACCTGAATACACAGACATTTATTTAATTTTGATTATTAATACTTAAAATTTCATAATTAACAAAGGCACTTATGTCAGTAGTTAAAATAAAGAATTTAATTGATATTCATAATTTAAGTTAAAGATGAATTTTTGTTCAATGGGGTTTTGGGGTTTTGGGGTTTTG